TGCCAGGTTCCTCCTAGCGCAGCGGACGACGCCTAACCCGGTAAGCGGCCGCTGCCCCGCCGAGCTGTTGATGGGCCGGAGGCCCACGATCCTGTTGGACCGCTTGCACCCTGATCGAGCCCCGGCCCAACGAAACCCCACGGAGCAGAGGGAAGCACCTCGCGGGTTCTTCCCCGAGGAGCCGGTGTTGGCTGAGAACTTCGGAAGGGGGCCGAGGTGGCTCGCGGGCCGCATCATCCGGGCGACGGGCACCGTCATGTACGAGGTGTCCACGGAATGCGGTCAGGTCCTCTGGTGGCACATCGACCAGCTTAGGCGGTGGTTGCTCCCTGATCGCGAGACGGCGGAAGTACCAAGGCAGCGGGCAGCGGCAGACGAGGACCCCTTCGAGGCCCCAGACGTAACCATGCCCGCGCTGGAGGACCCACTGCGGGCCAGCCAGCCCCCGACAGCAGAGGCAGGGCCCCCAGAACCCGAGCTGGAGACCACCAAGGCCCCAGCTCCACCGCCGGCTTCCGCACCAGAGGGCGGAACCCAGGTGGCCCCAGCACAGGGCCCCAGATGATCGGCAAGGGTGCGACAGCCCCCAGCGTACCTGAAAGACTACGCCACCTAGGAGTGGTTCCGGACTATGGGGGGAGGGGTGTTGTGTCCACTGACCGCCACCGGAGGTCAGCGCACATACCTGAGCTTCAGTCTGGGAAGACAATGGGGACTAGGATCCTAGTCCCTCCACTGGGGAACCAATGGGAGCCATGGCGGGAGATTCAAACCCACCAATGGTGACCAAGGGGTGGTCCCCAGGTGTGTATATAGTTGGCCTGCCGGCCGTTTGTCTTTGGATTCAAACCCACCAATGGTGACCAAGGGGTGGTCCCCAGGTGTGTATATAGTTGGCCTGCCGGCCGTTTGTCTTTGTCTTGTTGTGTGCCTAATAAAGCGTGCTATGCACCACGTCGTTGTCTGTCGTCGATCCATGCGGCTCCCACTACACAATACCACCTCGTCGGTGTTGGCCTTGCAGCCCAAGGAAGAGGCACTCGCCTGCCCTTTCCACTCGCCCCACGCACTCTCCGCCCTGCCTGGCCTGACCAAGTGGCCCCTGGTGGGCAGCCTCTTTGACATCCTGTGGAAAGGCAGCCTCAAGAAGCAGCACAAGACGCTGGCAAGTAACCCCATGGCCTCCCCCCCCCCCAGCCCAACTGCACAAGCAGCCCAAGGCAGCCATGGGAGGATGGCTAAACTGAGAACCCATTGAGGGCCGATGAAGTTTGCCGCTCCGCTTTCCTGGCTCATCTCGGAGTTTCCCCACCACCGCTGCCGCCGCCACACCACCCGCCCACAACGGCCCCCCACCGCCGAAGCGCCCAGCCCCACACCGGCCCGGTGCAATGCAGGGGGGGCACCAGATGGCTGACTCTGAAAGGCGAACAAATTGTGTGTGTGTGTGTGTGTGGCACATGCTCAGCAGCTGGACTTCCTTCTCTTCAGGCCCCGCCTGGAGGTTGGCAACCCCGTAATTGGGGGCGCCAGAAAGTAGCCCTGCCTAGGATGCAAAAAACCCTCAAGCCAGCCCTGCGTGTGTGCCGACTCCAGCACACCAGACTGCTGTACTTGGTGCCCAGGGCCAGATCTCTGTGCAAGCCACTGAGGTAACTGGCAGCACAGCTGGGGCCAGGGCAGAGGGAGAAGACAACAGGTGGCTCACACCTCCCAGGCATCTGTTAGGCCCAAGGCCAATCCTGAGAAGCTGGCAGTGCTACAGGGGCTTGGCGAAGTGCAACCCTGGCCCCACCCCTGCCTGCCAGCACACTGCTATCTTCACAAACATGCACTTTAGGCAAAAAGTTGCCTATTACCCCGCTATGGTGAAATCTTGACTGACCTGGTGAGGGGGAGGCATACAAGGCATCCCCTTCCCAGCACCTAGGGCTGCCAACCTCCAGGTGGGGGCTGCAGATCTCCAGGGATTGCAATTGATCTCCAGTCCTGACCAGTGGTGTACCAAGGGTGGGGTGGTTGGAGCGGTCCACCTGGGATGCAGGCAATAAGAGGGCGGAAGCTGGTCCGGATGCATGGCTCTCAGGATCAGGCTGCCCATTGATTTTCTCTGCAGCCCGATCTATCTTATGCATGCATTGGCAGCAGCACAGTTCAAGGCGTTCAGTGGGACCATCTGGAGCCCTTGGCCCTCCTGGAAGCATGGAAGAATATTGTTTGGCCAAAGACCCGTCCAGAACGGTGGGACTTCTTGGGAGAGCAGCCACCACTCCACGCAAAGCTGGAGGCTCAGCAGAGCAAAGTGGAGCTCCGTCTTTCGGCCTCCAAGGCCCGGTTTTGGCAAGCCAGTTTCCTGACAATGTGTGCAAGGGTCTTGGGTCCTCCCTGGCTGGGGGGGCAGGGCACTGAGCAGCTGCTTGCAGAAGACATCAGGGGTGCTTGGGCAGCAGCTGGTCTGCCCAGCAAGCGTTGAGGTTGGTGTGGGCTGGGCAGCCAGGCAGGCCGGTGGGCGAGGCCGGGTCTCCAGTCAGGGGCAAGATCATTTTTCAAGAAGACCTCTTGAAATGCAGGTGGTAACCTTTCGCCCGCCAGGGGGCTGCAGGAGCCCTTTTGGCCAAATGGGTGGGGTTTGGTCAAGGGCAGGCCTGGCACTCCAGAAGGGCCCTTGCCAATGAGGGCTTGTTTAGCTACTCGCCTTTCAGTGAGGAAGCGGCTTTCCTGGAGCCTCTCCCCCAAGAAAGGGCACAGGTGCTAGAGACAGGCTTGTCCTGGAAACGTCCCTTTCCATGCACACTTACTCGAGCATAAGCCCCAGTGGGCAGCCAATAGGCCAGACTCTCCATGTAGGAAAGCCATGGAGTTGAAGCCCTGGACTAGCTTGTAGTGGTTAAGAGCGGCAGACTCTAATCTGGAGAACGGGGTTTGCTTCCCCACTCCTCCTCATGACACCAGCTGGGTGACCTTGGGTCAGTCACAGTTCTCTCAGAGCTCTCTCAGCCCCACCTACCTCACATGGTGTCTGATGTGGGGAGAGGAGGGGAAAGCGATCGTAAGCTGCTCCGAGACTACTTTGGGCAGTGAAGGGCAGGGTATAAAACCAACTTTTCTTCTTCTTCATCTCCCAAGAGGGCACAATGGGCTGGGTGGATTTCCCCCTGGGTTGCCCTTTGCTTCAATGGGACATTCCCTTGCCAGCCTAGCCAAGGACCAGTTCCCCTTTTCTTGCGTGGTTAGTGGCTCAGAAAACCAGCATTTTGTCCTTTTCTAGTGCGGATGGCAAGGCATACATTTCAGAAAAAATATGTAAGGGAACATGGTGCTAGAACTGGCAAAAAGATTCTTCACACATTGTTTATATAAGTGAATCTTCACAGTATTTTTTTGTGTGTGTTTAAGCCATACACCTCAGCATATCCTGTGGGAAAGTGGCACTCCTGGCTGCCACTGAAAAAAGGGGGGCTTGCTTCTGACTTTGCCTTGGTCCTGGGTGGGGTGAGAGTGCGACCGAGAGAATTTCTACCTGGGGTTAGCCCTGGACAGTCCTGTCTGCAACAGGGTTGATCTTCTAATCGGAACCCCTTGATGATGGAGTGCTGAGGAACTGCAGTATTCCTAACAGCACCGTTTAACAACAGGAACCTGTTGAATTTGAAAAGGAGCCGGCGATCTTGCTTTCAGTCACTAGGTGGCCTCGCAGATACAACCCTACCATGACTGTAGGAGAATCGCACTCTATTCCCACACGTGGGCGCGCACTCCAGTATCAGAATTTTTTTTAACGAAAGTCCAAGCTGATCGCTCTGATCACCGCATGTGCCTCTTCTGAGCCACACTAAGACGCTCGCAGCGACCATAGCAATTACTCGCCCTTCACCGTCGGAGAAAAGGCGTCCTGAAGAGAGAGCGGGAGGAAACTACAACTCCCGGCATGCATGGGAACGTAAGCGTGTAGAGGGGGACTTTCTCTTTTCTGGCTTTCCCCCCACGTGGATTCAACATGGCCGGGTTTGTGGATCTGAACATCCCCCATTTGCCGGAGAAGGAGTCTTTGCAAAAGTTGGTGGCGTCTGCAGCGCATCGTGAGTCGAAAGTGCGACCGGGGGCGGGTGCAAAACATCCAATGGATGGGGAGGCTGGGTGGCCGGGCTGAGACCAGAGCCCGCCCGGCCCGGCTGAGTTTCCAAGACTGTCCGGCGCCCACGCTTTAGACCCGCAGCCTAGAGCTCGCTGGTTTCCTCCCTTGACTCAGTTGTATTTTCCTTCTGACTCATGGGGTGGGGAGAGATGAAAGACATCAGGCTATGATGTGTGTGGGGTGGGAGGGAGGCTTTGCCGCACACATCCAGTGCACGCTGGGGAAAACACACCACTTCTCATAGTATGAGCGGCTTAGGGATTCATGCTTTCGGGGTTCCTTAAAGCAGCTCGGGACGAAGAGAATGAGCCAGAAAGTTTCTGGTTCAGATTTCACCTCTTTGGTACATTTGGTCAAGCCGTTCATATCAGGATAACAGCGATTTCCTGACCAGGCATCTAGCGTCCCCTTAAATCAACACATTTTTATTCCAGTGTACATTTCTGTAACCTGTGATCTATGGAAGATTACACTGGATACAGTCCCGTAGCTAGGGAATTTTGGGGGGTGGGGGCCTCCGGAGTGGGGCGCCGGCTAATTAATTCAGAGTTAATTAAATTAACTCTGATTTAATAAGTGGAGCTCCTTAGAAGCCGGCCTTCCCCTAAGGTAGCCCTGCGCCCCCGCCAGGCTCCAGGGCCAGGGCGGATAATGCCCAGCGGCCGCCCCCCCCCCCCCGCTGGGGGAGTGTTTTTATTGTTGCTGCTGCTGCAGCATGCGAACAAGGAGACTGTACCCCACTGGTCAACTTTAGGGACTTAGTCTGAGGATTGCAATTGTATACAGAGGGATTTTATGCCTTAATGGCTATAAACACACAGTTGGTTGGGATTTCACTGAGTTGGACAGAGCTTCATTCTTCTGTAAACACTCAGAGCATAGCGAGCATTCTGCATATGTTCAGAAGAACACCCTTGCTTTGGTTTCTTTAAAAAGTTGGCTTCTCTGTTATACTGACAGAGCATGTCCAAAATAGTCCTGATGGTTTCCACTATATTTCAGCGATGGATGATACCATCAGAATAAAATTCTCCCCATTGGTGATCACTGAAGCAAGATCTAGAACTGAAACGCTTTCTTAAGGCATGAATGGTTATTTAATGAAGTGCACACACAAGATTTTTTTTTGGGGGGGTGGCCCGTTTACAGGCCAATCATGTCTTTTAAAAAAATCTGTGTATTTTAAACATGTCAGTAGTTCTGCTTTTATTGAAATTAAAAGCATGTGTGATAGGATCTTTATAAAATCGGCTAATTTGACTGTAAACTTAAATGACACAGGTTTTTCCCCCCTCTCTGCTAGTATGCATTGCTCCCAAAAACTGGAACACGCACAACAAAGGTCTTGCTTTCTTGCATACACAGAAAAGAAACAGCTGGAATAAACCACCCCTCTAATCCACCGATCTGTTTCCAACAATACAGGCCAAATGTCTCTAGGAAGTTCATAGGAAGACAATAGCAGTTTGGTTTCCTCCAGCATCTGTTATGCTGAGGTATACCATCTCTGAAGGGTCCATTCTCCCAAATTTGACATTTAAAACCTTGTTTTTTTGTGTTGACTCTGATGTTTTTATTTTCTAGTTGGCTATTCCACTGTGGCAATTAATTATGTCATTGACTATGAAGAAAAGAAAAAGGTGAGACGGACTTCTTCGAAAAGACCCAGGGCTTTTTCGTGTTCCCATTTGCCTTGCTTGTGTGTTCCTGTTGCTTGTTCTGCACATATTTGCTCCCTCTAGTAGTCGGTCCAATATCACAGTCCTTCCTCTGGACCATTTTAGTCAGAGAGAGATCAGCAAGCCTTTAACTCTCCCCCGGAAAGAGGCCAGACTTCTGAGGACCTGACTGGCTTGTGACCCGTATGTCTCAGCTTGCCCAGCAGTGAAAAGAGTCAAGCGCTTCCGTGGCTCTGAACATGCAATGTTTAAACGAGCCCGCATTTCTCATAGGGAAATAAATGAGTTGTTGACATGGATAAGGCACTGCAAGCCAGAAATAGCTTTGGCATGTTTTAATACCTCTGCTTCACACAAAGTTCAGGGCCTTAATTAGAGCCCCAGGACAGTGTATAAAAGTACCTGTTCGGTTTAGTTTTTATTTGCTCTTTGTTGTGTGACGCTGTCAAATGCAGCGACCCAGTTTTTACATGCATGATCACTGTACTGAATGTGTGTGTTTTTTCCCTTTAGGAAGTTGTGAAACCTATATCACCTTCAGAACTGTTTACATCCTTGCCTATGGTGCAGGTATGGCCAGAAATTGACTTGTAACTGCACTATACATCCGGTCACTCTATGGGCTTCGATGAGGGTGTTTTATTTGTCTGTTTGAGATGCTCATTCACATTACCATTGTCTTTGCTCATGCAGTGGGAGTGAGTGCAAGTGTGATGGTGTTGGTGAGTGCCATCAAATCACAGCTGACTTATGGTGACCCTGTAGGGCATGGGTGTTGAACTCATTTGTTACGAGGGCCAGATCTGACATAAATGTCACTTTGTCAGGCCAGGCCATGTGTGCCATAGAATGTAATGCCGGGTACTGGAGATATTTTACCACTGATCGTGACCCCTACCCCTCCTCAGAAGAGCTCGGGGCCAAGCAAGCCCTCCTCGCCCCTTATGGTTGCCAGCTCTGGGTTGGGCAATCCCTGGAGATCTGGGAGAAGACCCTGGGGAGAGCCTGCATTTGCGGAAGGGAGGAACCTCAGCAGATATAGGCCCTTCTGGTCCACATTTGGACTGTTTCCCCCCCAGTTGCTCACGGGCCAGATAAGAACCCTGGACGGACCAGTTCTGGCCCCCGGGCCGCATGTTTGACATGTCTGCTGTAGGGTTTTAAAGGCAAGAGACAAGCAGAGGTGATTTGCCATTGCCTGCATCTGCGTAGCAACTCTGAACTATTTATTTATTTATTTAGATTTATACTCCATTCTTCCCATCAGCGGGCTCAGGACGAATAAATTAAAACCTCTAAGTGATTAAAAGTAGATATAAAGCAATAAAAACAGTTGAAACTATTAAAAGATGGGCATAGCGGCAATTACATATTCAGCAGTCCTAAACTAGGAACAAGTGGGCCGCAGCTGAGCTATCAAGTTCTTATTGGTAGAAGCCTATCAGTAGCAGCAACTGGAGCCTGGAGGCCAACTAATGGACGCCCACCCCCTCACCAGAAGGCCTGGTGGAACAGCTCCATTTTGCAGGCCCTGCGAAATGGTACATGGTCTCTCAGGGCCCCTAATCTTGATCGGGAGCATGTTCCACCAGGCTGGAGCCCAGGCAGAAAAAGCCCTGGCCATGGTTGAGGCTAAGTGAACATCCCTTGGGCCGGGGATAACCAGTAGATGGCAGAGCACAAAGCTCTTTGGGGCACATATGGGGAGAGGCGGTCCCTTAGATATGTTGGTCCTAACTGTCCTTTTTGAATAGCCAGGGCAGAGGTGATGAGACTGAGCTAGCCTGAGCAAAAGTGTGTGAGGGATGAATTCTCCAAAGCCTCTGTTAGAGTAACACTAGGGGATTAAATAGCCTCCTGGCCTAAGAAGAGGCTCAGTGGGCAATGCCAATATTGCTGGGTCATTCATTCAAAACACTGTCCCTCTTTTTTTAACGAGGCTTCATCTTAGGGGGTGGTGGGCAAACACAGCCTGCACACACACCTGTCATGTGTGCCTCCTCATAACTTTCAGGAATGTGAGATACATGGAAAGACAAACTGTGGGTTATACTTGAGTGCAGGTGACAGAGAGATGTGACTGAAGTGGAGAGGAAAGTTAGCTACCAACGTTACTAAACCCAGCCCTCTCAAGTTTCCTTTGGCTGCAAATGAAAAGTAATTCTTGCTTAAACTCCTGTTTGTGGAGTGGGCTTATAGCCGCCAAGAAGAAAAAACAGAACAGCCTCACTGCAGCAGTAGAAGTGGCATTACTGACAATTACTTGCCGTTCTGGAGCAGGAAGCAAGTCCTTGAGCTGAGTTCCATGGAAGGGGTGGTGCGAACGGTATGGTTAAAACTCTTTGTCTAACTGGAAATAGACTTCTTGTGGATTAAAGAGAGGGCAAAGCGAATGCTTGTCTTCCATGGTGGAAAGTGGAATTGTGTGGGCATTGATTCTTGAATGTGGCAGCGTTCTTCATCTTATTTTAATGACGAGTGGGAGGCCTGTTGCCGTGGTTTCTGCTTCTCTCCTCTCCTCACAGTCTCCACTTTCCTTTGCAGGGGAAATCCAAGCCAATTAAGATTTTGTCGCGGCTAACGCTTGTAGTTTCTGATCCATCTCACTGCAATATCCTAGTAAGTCTGGAATGCTGTTGGTTTGGCTGTAACAATAGTGGCTGAGAGTCAGGTACCCTTCACAGCAATGGGTCACAGCAGAAAGGCTGTTTGCTTAATTTTTTCCCCTAAAGTGCACCGTGTGGCTAACATGTAATTTCTGCTTGCTTGGGATTTTTTTAAAAGAAGGTTTCGTAAGCTCAGCAGCTTATTGTGCAGCCTGTGAGTCTTGGGGCCAGCTGCTGAATTGCCCAGGAAATCAATCAGGGCCAGCCTTGCACAGAATTCTGCAAGAGAGATTAGCCTGTAACTTTTAACTAATCTGCCTGCCAGCATATCTGTTAGTAATTGGTGGCACACTGACAGTCTGTCTGGGATCAGCCTTCCTTGCCTGGCCATTTGGAGGCAGTTAGTCCAGATTTTAAGTGTGATGCGGATGAGACAAACCAGCTGGCCTGCGTGGCTTTGCAAGTGCTTAGCTTCTTCTTGAAGCTGGGAGGCAACCCAAAGCAGCTCATGGGTGCTTCGTACACTAGAGCAATGCCAGTCCAGGCTGTGGATCCCTGGTGGTCCTAAGTGAGCATAGCTGCTTTGCACAGATAGCATCCCAGAATAATAATAAGAGCTGGTTTTATACCCCACTCTTCATGATCCAAAGGAGTCCCGGAGTGACTTACAGTCACCTTCCCTTCCTCTCCCCACAACAGACACCCTGTGAGGTAGGTGAGGGCAGAGAGCTCTTTCGAGGACTGCTCTGAGAGAACTGTGATTGTCCCAAGGTCACCCAGCTGGCTTCATGTGGAGGAGTGGGGAATCAAACCCGGTTCTCCAGATCAGAGTCTGCCGCTCTTAACTGCTACACCAAGCTGGCTCTAAATGGTGGGTACCTGCAAAGTTTTAGGGGCAAATCCTTTTTTCTTTTTTGTCTCACCAGCATCACATTTTAAAATCAGGCCTTACTTCTGCCACACAAAGGGCTATTTACAAGTCCAGTGTAAAACTCCTTGAAGCAGAGTTATATCTAGCCAACCAGTGGAGACATGGTACTGGGTTGGACGAATACAAAATCTAAGCACTGGAAGTGACTGCCTTGAAAGAGTCCTTAGTGGACTTCTTCAGAAATCTGTCTCCTTTTAAAGTGTGCCTTAAATTCTCATTGGCATGAAGTAATGTGAAATAGAATAGTAAGGTTTTGGAAAGATACTTTTTATTTTTAGTAGTCAGCAAATTATTCAGCTTTCTGGAAATAAAATAGGTTGGATCCTGCAGCAGTGGTCCACGAGAAGTTATATCTTCTTCTGGCCTTTGTGGGAAGTTTCCCACAAAGCCAGTGGCTCTTCTGCTTGCGTCATCCTACGGCTCCTTGCACTGGAGGAAAGGGCCACTGTTAGTGGAATGGATCCACTGGATCTACCTTACTGTAACTTGCAGAAGCTGCTCATGTGCTGATGAGTTCCAGAGACCTTTTATATTTCGTGGGACTTCCTCAATACTGCTAATAGACATATTTCCTTGGTTTTGTGAGAACCATTTTTGCAGTTTCAGAGGTTGGTGTCCCCCCCCCTTTTTTTAGATGAGCGAGGATTCTTATGAGGTTCCCATAACATTCACCAACATCTGTGTTTTGACAGACTCCAGAATGAACATTTAATGTGGGAGATTTTAAGGCCCACAATCTTTTTCCTGTCCATTAGTGACGTTTGAATCATAGCACATCCCTATTGTCAATGTAACTTTTATGTTTTAAATTTCTAATGGAGCACTTTAATTCTGGCTAGAACTGTTTTTCTGTTTATTTAAATGTGCTGTTACGCAATCAAATTTTTGAAGATGTGATTTAGAGAGCAACTCTTAGCTGCTCCACTCCATGAGACTTGTTCCCAGGAAAGTATTCTTAAAATTGCGCTGTTTAATGTTTTGAAATTTCTAATTTTTTATACTGTGGGCTGCCTTGAGTACTTTGTAGAAGAGCAGGATATAAATGCAATAATAAATGAAGAGCCAGATAATTGAGGGCTAGAAACTTGAAAGACTGCCTAATACTAACCACTGCTTCAACACTGAACAAAGTGAGCTGCAAATATTATCCACAGAATTGTTTAGCCATTGAAACACGTAGTTTAGCTTTATGCCATAAAATATAATTTCTTCTTGTTATCTCGATATAATGATAAAGATCCCGTATGCTGCATTTTCCATAACACCGTTTAATTTTTCTTCTTACCAGAGGGCGAGATCTACAAACATAAAATTTTATGACATCTTTGCTGTATTTCCTAAGAATGGGAAGCTCTTCCATGTAAGTTCAGTGTCTTCCTCCCCTCCCATTGTGGGTGAAAAACATCATGTGATTGATTTTTGGACTAGCTTGGAAAAGGAGGTTGTTTGGCCACCAGTTCTGCCTTTTGAATGTACTTCAATTGCTGCCATGAGATAAAGAATCTGACATTCCACTGCTGAATTATCAGGAAGACATTTTTTTAAAAAAAGTTTAAATTTTTAATTATTTTTTCTAAAGAAAGGTGGGATACAGAAGGGAAGAAGGGGTGGGGGGGAGATAGGAAGATGATTTTACCCAACACAACAGAATGGTGGATGGTTTCTTCTGTTTTGATGCGACCCCTCTGAGGTGATGGTATTGCAGATAATTATGGACCGGTGTTAGGGTGAGCTGGGAAAGAGCCAGTTTCAAGGCATGCCTTGGTTTTCTCAGCCTCAGCTCCTGGCCTACTTGAGAAGTCTGTTGTAGGGCTTACTGGCAGGATGTATGTGAACAGTTTAAGCACATCAAATCTCTTCATAAGTGCTAACAAAAAACAAGAGCAGTAATTAAAATAGAAATGTTGACAAAGGGCGATTCCAGTGAGTCCCTCTGTCTTTGAAGAGTTTTAATCATGAGCTGCTTAAAGAGGGGATGGCAAGGAGAAAAACCAATAGTAATCCTAATTTTTACAGCATGTCTTTTAAAAAAAAAAAAAAAAAAAACAATTCCCACATCTAAGGAGTGTCTAACCAGCTAGTTAGTGTTGAGAATTCGAGCAACATTTTTGGTGTCGTTGTGAGTTCGTTGTCCACCAGAAGGTGCTGTTGCCTCTCTGATCAGAGGAAAGTGCAACTGAGGGGAATGTGCCATAATGAAGCGTTCTGTCAGCCGACCTTTTCTCCCCCAAGGATTCTTTTTCTCTTTGAATATCTAGCATTTAAAATTCCTGCAGGATGCAGGGAAATTAGCCACTCTTTAAAAATAAAAGCAAACAGTTTTTTCTATTCCAGTTGATCTGGATAAAAGTAGCAAGATTTTTTTTATTTATTTTTTACTGTTCTGAGAACTGAGTGAAAAAATTTAAGAGCAGCCAGGCTGGATCAGACCAGTGGTCCATCTAGTTGAGTTTCACGCAGTGGCCAACCCGATGGCCCCTAGAAAGCCTACAAGCAGGGCATGGAGGCTGAAGCCTTCCCTGTTGTTATCTTTTGGTTATGGTATTCAGAGCTATACTGTCTTTGTATATGGAGGTTCCATTTAGTTATCATGGCTGACGGTCACTGTTGGAGTGGCCTTCCATGATTTTGTCTTATTCCCTTTCAAAGCTGTCTAAATTGCTACATCCTTTGGTAGGAAATGTCGACAGGATCCTGAGTTCTGTGAAGGCCGTTACTTGTCCATCATGTAAGAACCACAGAACTGAGCTACTGCTGTCTGTCATAAATCAGTCACTGACTTAGGGCACTCAAACAGGCGATCATCCATCCACTACTTTAAGAAACCCATCTCTACAGAAAAATGATGTGGCCAAGTCTCTAATCTGCCCTTTCTGGGCAAAGTGAGCAGTAGTGGACCAACTCTAGGACTTCTTGGATAACTCGTGTGCTCTGGACCTGTTTCAGTCTGGTTTCAGACCAGGTTATGGGACATAGAAGGGCCTCACAGCTTTAGCTGATGACTTCCGTCTCAATGTAGACAAAGGCCATGCCTCTCTGTTGCTCCTCAGTTTATCTGCAGCCTTTGAAGCAATGAACTGTGCCATCTTGTTGAGGCATTTGGAGACAGAAATAGGTATCAGGGGATGTGCTTTGGACTGGTCCAAATCACTCGTCACAGGCTGGACTCAAAAGATTGCTGTTGGACGTCAGTTACTGTCAGTCTGGGACCTATCCTGTGGGGGTTCCACAGATTATAATCCTACCCTCGATGCTATTCAACCTCTGCGTAAGGCCCGAAGGACAAATCATTCACCATTCTGAGGTTGGCTGCCATCAAGATACTGATGACACAAAGCTCTATATCACATACAAAGACCTTCGTGGCCTTGGTCTGTCATATGTTCAGGACAGCCTCTCCCCCCCCCCCCATGCTCCACCACAACAGTTTTGCTCATATGAGCAGGGCCTTCTGCAGGTGCAACCCTACAAATGGGAAAGATCAACATATTCATTCTCTGATGTAGCCCCGTCCTTATGGAATGGCCTGCCTATCAGGAAGGCTCTCCTGGCATTCCACAAACTATGCAAGATGGAATTATCCAATAGGGTGCTCTTACCCAAGTAACAGGGCTATACTATCATGGAAGGGTTCAAAAAGATGCTTTTAAAGAAGGTAAAGGGACTGTGGGCTATACCACTGTGTATCATAGGTACTATCCGTTGCTGTCTGTGTTATCCTGCAATGTAATTTCTGCATTGTTTAATATGCCATTTTGATACTGAAGCTTTGTTTCAGCTTTCTCACAGATTTCTGCTCGTTTTCAGGTTTCTGCAATCCAAATTCGATTTTACTGGTTACTGAATTTCTCTTCCTGTTGATAGTACTGGTTTAGGGGAAGGGCTGTGGCTTAGTGGTAGATCATTTGCATGAAGAAGGTCCCAGTTTCAATCACCCACATTACCAGCTGAAAGGATCTGGTAACAGATGATGTGAAAGACCTCGGTGTGAGACCCTGGAGAGTTGCTGCCATTCTAAGGAGAGAAGGCTGACCTTAATGGTCTGCCAGGCCTGATAAGGGGCTGTGGGTATCTTCGGCCTTCCTCTCACTCTGAAGAGACACCCTTTCCTTGCCTGGTTCTGAGACTTGAATGCATTACACTGTCTTATACTGACTCAGACGACTGGTCTGTCAAAGTCAGTATTGTCTACTCAGGCTGGCCGCGGCTCTCCAGGGTCTCGGGTGGAGGTCTTTTTTGGCGCAGTTCCGCAGGGCCTGCAAGATGGAGCTCTTCCGCCAGGCTTTTGAGTAGGAGCCGCCACCATTACTATACCATCACCGTACCACCACCACTAAATGGAGTGGGTGTCATCGGGGAACAAGACGGCCCTGGGAGGGAGGACGGATCGCTGTACCACCTGGAGTCTCCTGTGTTGCTCTGGGACCACTTTGTCATGTGTGACCCCATCAGTTATTTGTGACATCTAGAGCACTTGTATTTTTTATATGAATGATTGTTTTATTGCTTGTTTTATCCTGTTTAATCTTGGCATATGTGCCTCAGTTGTTAGCCGCCCTGAGCCCATCTGGGGAGGGTATAAATTTAATAATAAATAAAAATAAATTAAATAAAAATTAAATTAAATTTTCATGTCACCTGCTATAGGATCTTTTAAACTGGAGATATCAGGGACTGAACCTGCGACCTTCTGCAAGCCCAGCAGATTACTCTACCACTGAGCCTCTTGCCTCCTTTCTCATTGACTTGAGTTACATAACAGTCTCAGGGCAATCTCAGGTTTCACCAACCTGTTGTCAGGATGCAAGCATCATTTCGCTGGGCCTTTCCTGCTCTCCCCTCATCTCATCCTCTTCTACAGTCACCTGAACCGGGGGGGGGGGGGGGAAATATATATCTAAAATTATATCCGTAGACCATATAGTAATGTGCTCTATACAGCCAATGCTCCACCACCCCAGACATCTTGGGACATCTCCCTCTCATGCACACTCCCCCAATTCATGAGCCCACCTCCCATCCCCTGTGCTTGAAATGCTGGCTTGATTGAGTCCTCTGTGCTTGAAATGCTGGCTTGATTAACACCTTCCTCCTTTGACCTCACAAAGCAGAAAGCCCTGTTGTTGCATAGTGTGTCACAGGACATCCTGTGTCCACTGCTGGGCAACCAGCTGCCAGCTCTTTGTAGTGGAACTCAGCCTTTGGACAAAAGCCATCTTCCAAAGGATAATTGCTTCCTTGGGCAGCGTCTTGTGCAGCTTCCAACCCAAACAAGTACCTTTGGGAGCACATCCCACATATTGATGCTGCAGGAAAGAACCTTCTGTGCACGTGTATCGTTCAGAAAAGAAATGCTTGTTCTCTGCTTTTCAAATTTCGAATGCAGGTGGCGTGCACAACCTTAGATGTCGACCTCGTGTGCATCAACGTAACAGAAAAGCTGCCCTTCTACATCAAGAGGCCCTCTGTTAATGTGGTAAGGTGGTCTACAACCTGTGTCTGCTGGCTGTACCCTTGTGTTTAGTTTGTGTTTTCTCCCTCAGACTGAGGGTTTTTTTGGCCAGTTAATGGCTTTGGAGGAACATGTCAGGTCTTATTTTTGACGTGTTGTGCCCAGTTAGAGAAGTTCTCTTCACCGGTATGAGAATGTGGCCAAGAAGGACAGCATTTCCCCCATAGCCTTATTTTGGTTACAGGTTACAGTCTGACAACAGGCTAAGCTGTTTCAAGAGCACTCTTGGTTCTAGCCGTCCTCCCTGTTCCAGCTGACCAATAAGGAGAGGGCTGCAGCCATAGTAACAAGGGCTTTGCCAGTGGCCTGGCAAGGCATGGGGGCCTGAGGAGAACACCTGCAGATTCTGTGTGGAGGCAGGAAAGGGGGGAAGCTGCAGACTTCCAGGGATTTGCAAGCAAACCACTTCTACTATGTGCCTCAGAGTTAGCATGACACACTGCAGTTTAAGGAAACTGCTGTTAATGGTGACACCTAAATGCATTCAGGGCCCTGTCACAGGAGTGGGCCTGACTCAGCAGTCATGGCCAGCTTGATTTCAGTTCAGTTTTTGCTCCCCGTGATTGTCATATAATGACGCAGCAGAAGTGCCATGACTCTGCCTCAGACCGTATCTCTTGCAGCAGATTCCAGATTCTGTTTTCCTCCTGCTTTTTGAGTGGAATATCTTTGGATTTGGGAGTCTCTGCTAAACACCTTAAGTGTTCTAAATCTGAGAGCATCTTGGGGGTGGGGGGGAATGACGACTGTGTTTTCCCTAGAACAGTTCCTTTGTCCCGTTGGCTGCCTCTCTATACCAGAGAAGGCAAGAAAGGAAAACACATCAGTAATAGACAATAGCTGTGAGATTCGACTGTCTCGCTGCCTTCCAATTATGATTATTTCCCTTTCATGTGAAGGCAATGGATCGAGGCATATACTTTGAACTTGTTTATGTGCCTGCCATCAAAGACTCCACGATGAGAAGATACACGATTTCCAACGCGCTCAGCCTGATGCAGATCTGCCGAGGAAAGGTGAGGTTTGGAAATGAAAGGAGTGGCCCCGCTTCTGCCCACTGAACGGTTTGGAGGTTCACTCGCTGGAATTAAGCGTAGGCCGCTCCAACCTTTGTCTTGTCAGGAGAGAAAATGAACAATTCTATCTGGAAACACGATTGGTTCAGTGTGGTTAATAATCTTCTAATGAAGAGGGGAACCTTGCCCCAGCAGGTTCTAGTTTTGTTAACCTGGAAAGGTTATGCAGTTCTAGAGGCAGTGAGTTGTGCACGGCTAGGGTTGCCAGGTCCCATCTTCTCCCTGGCGGGGGGCTTGGGGGGGCGTTTCGGGAGGGGGGGCGGGCGTTCCGGGGGGGGGGGCTGTCCTCAATCCGGGGTCATCATGCAAAGTGATGTCATTGTGTTGGGGCCGCAGCGCCGCACACGCATGCCTCCTTTTTCTCAGCCATTTAAAGGGAACCTTCCCTTTAAATAGTTGGGGGGAAAGCGGGTGCCCCATGCGCCCGCCCTGCAAGCAGCAAATTCGCTATGCATGGCTGTGTTTTTTGCCAAGCAGTTGGTCAATAGTGTGGTCTTTGCCAGTGTTGATTGGCTGTTTGGAGGCATGATCTAGATCAGTCCTCTGACCTCCCCTGCCTCGGCAGAAAGTGATCAACACTTCCTCAGTAGCCACCATCCGTCTGCCAACTGGAGCAAAGGCTTGTGTGCTGTAGATGTGAGTTGCACACTCCATGGAGCATCCAGCATGCCTAGGAGGCTGCTCCCCCTGTGGGAGCTTCCCGCACATGTGTGTCGCTCTTTGCTGGATGGGACATAGGCCAAGCACCCCCATAATACGGAGGCAGCCAACTTGCTCTCTGGCTCCACTCTCCTCAAGAGATTTCTCAGTCAGCTGTGGGAAAGGGGCCACCATCTCAAGCCCACTGACGGATCTGCACAGGGAAGTGTCACATCCAGTGAAATAACTCTGTCAGTTGCAAGGAGTTCAGAATGGTGTACCCGGGTCTCCCCTCCGTTGTGGTATCTACACGACAACCCCGTGAGGTAGGTGACTAGGGCAAGGGCACCCAGCAAGCTTCACAGCTGACTGAAAAGTTGAACCCAAGATCTCCCCAGTCTTAGACTAGCCCAGTAGCCATTGTGTCATACTGGGTTATATAGAGGAGATCTTCTTGATAGGAGTAGATTGTGTCAATCTTGAGTGAATGTGGACCTCTAAACAGGGGGATATTTGGAATAAGAGGGGAAGTAGGTTCACCAACTGTTACTCAAACTAAACTATTAATCTCATTTTGTCTAAAACGAATGTTTTGCTTCCTAGAATATCGTGCTGTCCAGTGCAGCAGAAAAGGTAAATTCACAGCATGTATGAGTGCAGATCTGTAATAGGTAATTAATTAATAGATCATTTGTACACAGGGAAGGTGCTTGTGTTTCTTTAATGTGTTTTCACATGCTTTTAACTTTAGAATGCTTTTAACTTTAGAATGCTATTGTTTTTGCTGCAGTTTACCTGTGTTCCCTTTTCTGTCTCCTAATTGTAATGTCCTTTGGTTCTGCACAATAAATACTACCTATCCTGACCCTGGGTAGCCCAGGCTAGCCTGATCTTGTCAGATCTTGGAAGCTGAGCGGGGTTGGTCTTGGTTAGTACTTGGATGGGAGACCACCAAGGAAGTTCAGGGTTGGGATGCAGAGGCAGGCAATGACAAACCACCTCTGCAAATCTCTTGCCTGAAAACCCCACATGGTCAACATACAATCAGCTGTGACTTGACAGCAAAAACAAAAAACCTACTTATCTGTAATAGACAGTGGAAATGATACTTAAAAAAAAATTACCTCTTTGTCTTTTGATAAAGAAGAAGCGTATGCATGCATTCATATTCTGGTGTACTTGGGAGAACTTAATTAATATCCACTCCTGTATTGGTCTTTCTAAAGCGTCAAAGCAAGGCTATTACGCACAACAACTCCAGCTTCCTGACCTTCAGGTGATGGGAAGGTGCAGCTTGTAGCCATTAAAACTAAGGAGCCATGTCATTGACTTGGCCAGATGGAGGTAGACGGGGCTCCAAATTATGGCTGTGTGACTTTGAATTCAGTCATTACGTGATGCCCTCCTTCAGTCTACGGCTGCAGGTTTTATTATCTGGCCTCTGTACTTACCATGGTTTTGTTTTCTGCTTTAGCCTTTACAGCTACGAGGTCCTTATGATGTGGCTAACCTGTATCCTTTACACATATACTTGTGGGGATATTTAAAATGCTACTGCTTTTGTCGGGGGGGGGGGGGAAATGTTGCAGCTTTGTTCTAGCCTTCCCCACTTAGGAGAAACCATTGGCAACAGAATATTAGTAAACACTTCTGGTTGACTGCAAAGTGAAAGGTCACATAGAACAAACCTCACACTGAGCTTAGCGAGAAAGAATGCTATTGGCAGAAAGGGATTCAAGAGAGTAGTTGTTTTAGAAGGCTGGCAAAGCTGATGGAAGGAAAGGGAGAGGGTAACTGAAGGTCGTGGGGTAGAACGGGTAATCAATGAGTTGAGAATTGGGGATTTATGGGGAGGATGGGGTAGAGGGAGCACAGAATTTAGGAGAAGGCCAAGCAAAGTAGGGGTTGGAGATGCGGTGTGGGTCTGGAGAGGGAGGACAGGACTTTGGGGTGTTAGGTATCAAAGGAACTTGTAGGGTGGGAAGGTTTATGGATCAAGGTACTTTGGGGTACAGAAAGATCAAATAGTTAGGGAATGGAGAGTTTCACACAACAACTTGAGACTCCTCTTTGGCCTAATAAGGATTCATTTCTGTCATTAGCTGTTTAAAATCATTTTGTTTAGCACCTCTTGGGTGATTTGAAGGCCGAGTTCAGACTGGCAGTTTGAAGCGGGAGAGACTCGTGGCAAAAAAGACCCAGAACAAACTGTTCCGGGTTTTCCCGGTCACACTGTACCAACTTATGCGAGAGCATACCGGGGAAGAGGTGCAAGGGAGCGTTCAAACTGTTGACCCGCCCCTGGCGGAGGCACGGCTGTAAGGCACAGCTTTCTTTTTGGTAATTTGGAGATATGCGCTTATGCATATAAGCGCACAATAAAAAACACAGCATTTGGCATTCACACTTTGTTGGTGCGGGATAATTGCGCTTTCCAGGGTTTGATACCACGTTCGCCAGGTATCTTTTAAACTCGAGAGCGAAGCATTACAAGATGGGTTGAGTACGGCTGGGGAACGCCGGACAGATTTGCCTGTGTGAACAGCCCCTTTAATCTGGTTGTGGAACGTTTCTGAAACGTGCCTATATCGAGGCAAACTGCCAGTCTGAACTCGGCCGAAATATATCCTCTCTTTCCTCTGCCCGGCCATTCTCAGGCAAATGGTTCTGATCCCCCCCAATACCGGGGAACTGAGGTTGAAAGTGGGCAACAGTCAGTGGCCAAGTGAAGATCTGCACTCACGTCTCAAGCTTGCCTGCTTGATTGCTGGGTTTTGTTTGGGAGATTTGGACTTTGCTTTACTATTCAAGATCAGTGTAGTGGTTAGGAGCGCAGACTCTAACCTGGGAGAACTGGGAGAACAGTTTGCATGCAGCTGCTGGTGTTACCTTGGGCAAGCCACAGCTCTTTCAGAGCTGTTCTCTCAAGAGCAGTTCTCGAAAGAGCTCTCTCAGCCCCACCCACCTCACAGGGTGTCTGCTGTAGGGAGGGGAAGGGAAAGGAGATTGTTAGCCACTCTGAGACGCCGAGTGAAGTGTGGGGTGTAAATCCAGCCTCTTCATCTCTTCTTCTGCTATCACATCAGTGACTTACAAAAAACGAAGTTCACAAAGTGGAATCGGGTTACATAGAGGAATGTCCACTGTACCCCCATAGTTCTTCTTGAGGAATGGGAACTTAGCCTTGTGCCTTTGAACTCTTTGCCCTCCTTGAGCATGAGGATCCTTAATGAATCGAGCAGAGGATGGCTCTTCGGCCTGTCGGAAAGCAACGCCAAGGCCGCCGTTTCTACCAATGGCAGAGCGGTCCTGCTTCATGGAGGTGAGTTGAGGGGCTGTTGCTCAGGGGTGCAGTGTCTGCATTGCAGGCCTAAGATCCCAGGCTCAGCCTCTAGCATCCCCGCTTAAAGGAATCAGGGAGTAGGCAATGTGGAAGACCCTCAGTAACTCATAGTAGACAATACTAACCTTGATAGATCAGTGGTCTGGCCCAGTATAAAGCAGCTTCAGTACAAGGAGAGGAGAATCAGAGGTCTGCCATGGAAGGTGGGGATTGGGGAGAATTGCCCCACCACACAGCAAAAATCCTCCTCAGGATCCAACCCAATATGTCTGAATGGGGTTCTTTTTAAAAAAAGAAGGAATCCAAGATTGAACAGTAATCTTTCTCCAAGGAGAGATTTTTTTGAAATGATAATACAATAAAATGTTGTATATATGTTTTCCCCCGTGTCCTCCTGTACTGGCCTTCTTCCCGTGGCGTCCTGCACAAGACATGTCTGTCTTCCAACCTTGCCCATTAATTCCAGTGCTGTGGGAATGCCTCTTTATGCAGGGTGCCTAGCTGGCTGGGTAACAGCCTTGTAGATAAGTTGTCCCCCATCACGTGCCACGTTCTTGCTCCCTTCTTGCCCACAGGGTGTGTGTCACCAGGACACCACATCTGATGACAGGGGTAGTAGTCGCCTGTTGTGGGTTGTGTTCCTTGTGAAGCTGCCCAGGAATCCATTTCCTTGGTCAAGCGTGCAGTGCCATCACCGTGGTGCTGAGTTCTCACACTGCGTATTAGTGGCACCTCACTCTAGGGGATGCCTTTTGAGTCTAGCAGTGTTTGGCTGTGGGTCTTTAACTTCTCCTTGTTGAATTGCAGAAGCCAGAAAGACTGCCTTTGGAGTAGTATATACAATGAAGAAACCTCGAACCCCAGATGAAGACGACTCCACTCCAGCTACCAAAAAAGTCAAGATGGCATTGTGATGAGCAGGGTCTTCTCTGTGGCTTCCATGCACCCTCCCCCCCAAGCTCCAGGCTCTTGGATGGCCAGATGCAGGGAGCGTTTGTTCTGTTGATGCAATTAAATACATTGGGCTTTGGCATCGATGAGACTGTGGAGTGTCCGACTGTGGACATTGGAAGCTGCAGATACTGTTGTGACTTTGGGGACGGGGGGGGGTGTCAGCCGCCTAGTGGAGAGTGGCAATGTCGCAGACTTCAAAGCGGATGGAAGACCATTTGTATAGCTCCGTTCCATTTAGGAGAAAGACCTTTTACCAAGGAATTCTGCCACACTCCCTTTTGCCATCTGTCTTGCAGTAGTTCCAGGAATGGAGTCTCTCTAGAGATAGTTGTAACTCTCAGAGCGCTTTAGCGCCCCAGTGGCTTTTAATCCCTTCATGAACGCACAGTCAAGCAATTAAATAAATTCCTGGAAGCGTTAATGATAGCATTACGGCAGTGACTGGAAGTGTACAGATGGGGGCCCCAGCAGTTCATGCATCACGAGGCCTGTGCCTGTGGGCTCTGTAAGGGGGGCAATTCCAGGTTGGGAGTCACTAGCAACTCCTTACTTGTGGGTGTGGTATGGGGGAGCCAGTCGTCACAGGCCGTCATTGGCCTTTTTTGTCTGATCCTGCAATTAGCAAATCACCCCATTTGCATTCAGCAGCATTGGGTAGAAAAATGAAATTCTGGATTTCAGATGTTGCAGGGTCCCCCCCCCCCCCCCCCCCTTCTTCTCCACACAGGATTAGTGTAATTTCGTCCTGGGATCTGTACTAATCTGACTGCCTCCTAAAAGATCAAGATGGGTAACCGTGTTAGTCTGTCTGTAGCAGTAGAAAAGAGCAAGAGTCCAGTAGCACCTTAAAGACTTAACAAAAAATGTGGCAGGGGATGAGCTTTCGAAAGTCACTGCTCTGAAGAAGTTCTGAAGAAGTAAAGCTCCTCCCCTGCCACGTATTTTATTAGTCATAAAGGCGCTAGTGGACTCTTGCTCTTTTCTGTTGCCTCCTGAAAGTCTCACTAAACAGCTTTAGGATTAGGCGACAGTTAGAAATGCCAGCCGTTTGAGAGACCCAAGGGTCCCCAGCCAGCAGCACAAGGAGTGCATACGGGGGACAGTCATGGCATGCGAGGACCCAGATCTTGGTCCCCAAAAATGTTTAACAGAGTGCATCAGCAGCCGTTTTTCTCCCCTACAGGAATAAGTGAAATAAAACTTTTCTGTCTTCTGACCCTGAATGTCTCTTCCATTATGTGACTTCCTCAGTTTCCAGTTACCTGCCTTTAAAGCATTTCTGCAATTCCGGTTGCAATTGGCCCTTTCCCCTCACCATGAAAAAAGTGGGGCGGAGGGGGAGTCCTGGAGCTGTTCTTTTCTGTTGTTCAACTGGAGGTCTAACTAGGATTGACAGAAGAGGAGTCACCACCAAACAGATATAAAAAGGTTGGTATTGTATTTATGCAGAAAATGGCTTGAGTAGGAGGCCAGTGGAGGGAAGGTGGGATGGCACAGCCTGATCTCATAAGATCTTGGAGTCTAAGCAGGGTCAGCCCTGGTTAGAACTTGGATGGGAGACCTCCAAGGAAGGCTCTGCAGAGGAAGGCCATGGCAACCGCCTCTGCTTCTCACTTGCCTTGAGAGCCCTTTGCTGGGGTTGCCATAAGTCGGCTGTGATGGCACCTCACACACAGGTAGCATTTTTTCTTCAGCTGGGAGAAATAAACACCATTCAGGAGAAAAGAATAGCACTAGCCTTGGAGTGAAAAGAAAAGAACAGAGAGGGGAAGAACTCAGGACCTTTTACATTGCCCCCTGATGTGTTTTTTCAGTATGCCATCGGGCCTGTGTTTTCCTGTGGCCCCATCTGAAGAGGCCCTGGGGGGAAGTGGAACATAATTATCCACCCTAAGAGGGGGCTTGTGTTGTAGACATACTGTTTATAGGAAGATGAGGAAATGCTGTTTGTAGGCTGTAACCCTGAAACTAACAAACCATGAATGGTTATGTTAACATCAGTGGTTAGGGGAGGTGGGGGACTGTGCTCCTAAGTAATTTTTCTGTTTAGCCATTTATGGCTTTAAGGTATTTCAAATGTATTTTGCCATGGATGGTCAAGAGTCTCCAAAACTGTCTTGGATTTTGCAGACCCTACATGGTTTTGCTTTTTCGAGTGAACTTACAGTGTGATCCTGTACACAGTAATACCTTTCTGTGTTCCCAGAAGCCAGTGGGCTTAGAAGGGTGTGATTCTGCTTGCCATGGCACTTAAAATTCCTTGGAGATGTTGATTTTTTGCATTGTGTCCCTTTCTGCTATTAACCATCATTTGTGGGTGTTCCTAAGAAATCACACACGTGCTTCATGATTACAGAAAAGGAAACACAGCTTCTGTTTGGTAGCTCTCTGTGGACAGTTGCAGAATTGGAAGCGTCGCTGGGGGTCCCATGTACCAGCTGTTGCCCTGGTTTGTGATGTGGCTTTCTGAAGCTGAGAAGGTGACCTTTGGGGACCCTTCTCCGTCTAATAGGTGGCCGTTTGTAACTTTGAAAATGGGAGCTCACAAAGCCATTGGGACGCAGTGTTCTTTTGCAACAAAGCCTTGATAAAACCAGGTTCTCTATTCCACACAATATCTTGAGACAAATTAGAGAGGAGAGAGGGTGATGTTTGAAATCTTAAAACAAGATTTAATACAAAAAATGTTCATAAAGAGCCGTACAAATATACCTCTCCTTCTCTTCTCAGGCTTTGAGAACAACAACGTACTCCCTCGTGTGCCTTTTTTGCCCTGCCCTCCTCTTACCTGCATAAACGTTCCATTTTGAAATCTGTAGTCCAAACAACGCTGAAACATTTGATTGAAAGACTTGGCTGTTGCTTCTCTTGGATTTTAACAAATGAGAAGAACCGTTCCCTCGTTAATTCTCCTTAATTGGCGTTAACACTCTCTGCCTTCCCACCGTCTCTCCAGCCTCGGCGTCTTAACAGGACACCAGCGATGGTTCCAAATACCCTCGAATGAAAAGAGCGCTTGACAGGAAGCTACTAATATACTCCGAACTGCTGGGTTTTTTTAAATTTAAAAAGCAGCTTTAATGCTCCTGGCTGTTTCTAATTAGCACATCAGTAACCCAAGCTCTCTCACTAACATTGGTGCCAACTTGACTTACTGAAAAGATCAACAGAGAATAACAGCCAACGGAACACTATCCAAGAAAGGGGGAGAGGGGGAAAGGAAAGGAATGGAATACAAAATATAAATAGGAATAAATAAAGCAACTTGAAATCCACAGAATTCAAATGTTCAAACAGTGCCTTTGAAAATGGTTTTGTCCTCGCTTTTTTTTTTTTTTGTTCCTTCTGAATTTTAACAAAGGCGGCTTTACATAATCCAGCAAAATAAACACTTGTTTAGTTCCCTTTGCAATGGTTGCTGCTCCTTCGTGTTGATAATGGTGCCATTTACAAGGTTACTGTCAATCCTCTTGATGTTTGAGTCTTAAAGAGTTCAGAAGGTGTCTATAGGGGAGCTCTTGTACGAGTTCTCCTTCAGGCTGTTGAAGATTTCTTTGGTGCCGTTTTGCCATTGCAGAACAAGATCCATAGGAGTTTTCCCTTCCTGTACGGGGGAACGTAAGAAAATGAGATGAAATCTTTCAACCTTAGAGACAATTTACAGCTTTTACTTAAAACTTGCTGTTTTGTTCTACCATGTTTCTAGAAGTTGGAAACATGGGATGATGGGGAGAAGCAATTGGAACAATACATTGGGTTAAACCCCTCATGAGGGTTGACAGATTCGGTCAGTTTCTGCTTTTACCCTGGGTTCCTGCCTCCTCTGTCCATTCTGAAGCACACTCACCTTCACCGGGTCATGACCATCAGTCAGGTTTGCTAGCACAAATGTTCAAGACCAGGAAGTCAGCATGGTAGCAAAATATACAGGGCACAATACAGCAAAAGTCATTAAAAATGCCCAAACCAAACAAGAGATCTAAATCCTTTTATGGATAACAGATTTGCACTCTGGCTGTGGGTTTGAGGGAGGCTGTGGGTTTAACCCTTCCTGCCCTTTCCCCAGTTTTAAAGTGTCCCTTGAAGCTGCTATTTTGCCCCATTGGGGGAAACATACAGGTTCACATCTTCCCCAGTCCAAATTAGATCCTTCAGCTGTTGTTTACTTCCGTATCTAGTCTATTTTGGTTCTGAATCTCGCTGAAATCAATCACACTTGTAAGTCACAAATCAGTTTGACTGCATTCATTGCAATTCAATTAGGACTGATTCGGGTGCAGGAAAATTTCTATGCTGGGTTTCATGTAGTTTGACATGTTACTTAAAGGGTTCCTAACCTGCCACAGCTATTTTTACTCATGTTGCACACCGTTTATGGTTGGGAGAGAAGCCACACTAGCATGTGAATGCTATGCATAATACCCAGTGAAGAGATCAGGAACTCTTCAGAGGTCCAAATTAGTTGTGTAAACTGTGATTAATTCTTGCCAGATCATGTCCACCAGAGAAAACATACAATGGAAAGCAAGGAGAATACAAAGTGAAAGCGAAAACCCTATTTTAAATAGTCCTCCTTTTCTTCCCTTTGGTATGTAACATTTTGCTGAATGTTCAGATCACTTTTAAAAATTGACATATAGCCTTAATACATTTAATGATAGATATCCCAGGGCTAGATTCAAGTCCAGTAGCACCTTAGAGACTAAGAAAATTTCAGGGCATAATAAGCTTTAGGGTTGCCAGGTGCCTACCGTCTGCTGTTGGGGGACTCTTGGCTGCTGGCCACCATAGACTTTTTGGCTGAACACTAGAGTGTCCCTCCACATGACTTGCCAGGCACGAAATGTCACTTCCAGGTGATGTCATTGTGCTGGGCATGTTGTGCGCCATAGAACTCTTTGGGGGCAGGACTCTGCCTGTCAGCCAGCTGACCACACAGGTGGATTGGGTGGCCTGAAATTGGGGGGAACCCACCCCCATCAGGAGGATGGAAACCCTAATAAGCTTTCGAGAGTCAACACTGCCTGTGCTGCCCCAGCAGGGTATATAGAAAAGCATAGTAAGCAGTTTGTATTAGCGCAGGAAGATTAAGTCCTCTACTTTTAAAGTAATGCATGATGGGAATCGTAGTTCATTAACTCCCTTAGGTCCGATGTTCTGAGATAGCCTTCCTTATTGGTTATGCATAGGTTCCCTTCTGGTTCCCTTCTTATTAGCCTTTTCCTTTCTTTGTTAAAAGACAATCACTAGCAGCAACAAAGATGCACCGAATCATCTCTTCCCACCAAAGCCATACAAATGGACTCTGTGATAGTGATAAACTGAAGATGAACTCTTTCACTCATTCAGAAGCTGGATCATAAGTTAATGAGCTTCTTTGAATGCATGAGAAGCCAAACAAAATGATTTGAGCCTAGCAGACGTGTGTTGATCACTCGCTTGCCAACGGGGCTCAGCTTCCTGCTAGGCTCAGAGCAGGAACACTGCCTTTGTCATTGCGACTGGCTTCAAATCTAGCTCTTCTACTGCAGACCAGCATGGCCATCCTCCTGAAACTAGATACGCCAGGGTTATTGTCATAATTCCCAATTTGCCGAGCGTGCTCTTGGATTTATTGTGCAGTGCATCCTATACAGTTTTCCACAGTGTCCATATAATTTCCACCAACATATTTTCTGCATCATTATAATATTAAAGACTGA